CACACACACACACACACACACACACACACACACACACACAGGCTGCACAACGATTCAAAATGCTGACTCACAGGTTAAAAGACAATAATGGAAGTGACAACAGTGATAGCACATAAGCCAAGAGCTGTAATATGACTGTTAGAATAATTCAAGAGAACTATTAACCAAAGTGGTATGATAAAACACATACACTATTTGAACATCTACTAACAGTGTGGTAAAACTATAATTTAACTTTATAACTCTGTTAATGAGTAGGCAACACTGAGTTCATGTCCTCAATACCGTTTCTCAGAATTACAGGATTTGAACTCTATGGAAGTTTAAGAATAAAGAAACAAAAAACTTGTTATAAGAATATACTATTTCTCTTGTAGTTGCTTTTTGTCTTTTATGATCACTTACTGTTCATCTTGAAAGGTTTCACATTATAAGATACAAATACATTGTAGGAAAAGTTTCTTGTTATACAATAGTGAGTTTGCATGTTGTAAACACATTAAAACATCTTGCTATAATAAAATGCACTTGGACTATGACATCATCATTTTAAAGTTACAACATGCTAATTTTCTTTTTTTTCCTGGAGTGGCAGCACTTTGCTCTTAAATCTGACTAGTGTTTAACCAAAAAGAAATCATGAATGTTGTTACTGCCGATATAGAGAAGACTTTTACACCGGTATTTAACTTTCCTTACTGACACAAAGCAGTGGAACAGTATCAAAATATAAACTAAAATGAATGATATTTCAGTCACTGGCAATATACCGCAAACAAAAAAGACATTCTGTTGGGAAAATACTGAATGCACTCTTCCAATATCAGAGTAGTCAAAGGCCCAACTGTAACTGTGTACATGACAGGATGTATGATTACCTAGAAGAGCATCAGGACACACTGCTTTAGGCATATGATATGTTACAATGATTAACGTGATGATTCAGCCTCTATGGAGATAAGATGAGGATGATATGGATGACAAGCATGATCATTTCTGACGTGGGTTTTAGCTAATCTAAACAAAACATTATATACTGCTTTGAACCGGTATTCCTGCATCTTGTGACTCAGTAACACCCTCTTTTGTCAGCATGTGAAGGGCACTAGTTAAGGAACTAGTTGTACCAAATGCTCTGTATGTGATGACTACTTCCATTCTTGCAAGGATAATACATACATGTATCCTGATATTTAAGCACAAGCCGGTGACCAGTGATATTTTTCTAACACATTCCCAGAAAGGGGACTGTGGGAAAATATTTATCAGTGGTGATCGGGGTCAGAGATTATTAACCTCTGTAAGATATCAGTCCAAATACATAGGCCAGGAACACAGTCAAGAGGGATAAATAGGTGGATTTGTAAAGTCGTAAATTCAATTATGAATTCCTTCCCTGACACCTTGCTCACTAGACTTTCAAATCCCTTTTGTAGTTCAACTTATCCTTAACATGACCCTCTTGAACACATGCACGGATAAAAACAGTGCTAATTTATTTCTGGTTTTGTGTGTGTGTGTGTGTGTGTGTGTGTGTGTGTGTGTGTGTGTGTGTGTGTGTGTGTGTGTGTGTGTGTGTGTGTGTGTGTGTGTGTGTGTAG